CGTACGGGGTTTTACTTTTTTGTATACATAATTCGTCATGGCATTGCTCATTTATTTCTAATTGGTCTATATGCAATTACAGTTTTTGTTTAAAATATTCGATCGCGAGGAGTGATTACCAAATATAATAAATCCGAGTTGTAAACAAAAGTGACGTGTCGTTTGTACGGACCGAGGAGGACTGTGGTTGACAACGTATCTCAATCTAAACGAGAGATTAATAGCCAATCGGTCGCAACTGTTTCAGCCAAAGACCGGCTGGTCAAATGTCGTGTTATTACTGCAGATAAGTGGCGACGTGAAGACGCGGCGATGGTAATCTGAGGAGGCGCGCGCGACGAATAAAAATTGTATAATTTATTGTATCGCAGAGGCACCGGAGAATGACGACGTGCGCGCCCCTAGGGCAGCTGCCGGTGGTTACTGTGGCGGAGGGGTGGAAGGGAGGGAAATGAAGAGATCACGCTGAGAGCGAACGCGTCGAACAATGGCCGTGATTCGCGATACATTGTGCACGTCTAAGACGAGCTAATCAAAGTGGCACGATCGAAAAAAATCGTTCTTCGGGTTCGAAAACATTCGGCGGTATTATCGAGTTTTGACCTTAACCGCAATTGAAAAACGTGAAGAATAAATGCATTTCACACGGGTCACCGTGCAAGCAATACGAACCGCGACAAAAATCTATACAAAAATAAAAAACTATCCAGCCAACGCCTAGAAGCCATCGTTTTTCAGCATATTTGACGGATTGAAGATTACGCCGACGTAGCACTTGTAACGATTCGATTTTTAATATTGTTGAACGACTCGTGTTATTATTACTCATCTTTTTACCACTTCCACCGGTCGCACATAAAATAAACCACATGTCTGACGATAACAGCTATTTTTATCTTATACAAATGTTGGAACTATTGTTAGAATATTTCATATTTTTCAACGATATGCGAAATACTCCATGTTTCATGCGCTATTAAAAAACATTTCAATGTCCTATATTGTAGTCAAAATGTTAAGTTGTTTTTTAGAAAAATCGTTCGATGAAATATTACTAGAAATGTACATTTCTATAGTTTTATTTGTGTTCCGTCGAATCGACTTGTAAATAATAAAACAATATAGCAAAAGTGATAGGTTACATAAAAGACGGCCAATAACAATACAATTAAATGTTTGCTACAAATCATACGACACGCACACGCATACGGTCTCATAAGAACCAATAAAGACAGTAGTGCGATTACTACCCCGAAATTGCTTTTTAGTGAGATTCAATTGTGAATCACAAACGTGATTTCTTCAAAAATTAAAACCGTTAAATAGTATTCGAGAAGAATACACACCAACGACGGTTTGTTTCGATAGTTTTATAATACTTTTAATGACAATCCAGTTGTTTTCCTAGAAACCCGTAGAACATTTCCTAAGAATCAATAACGTTTATTGAGAAAATACGTTATTTATTTATATGTACAACCCAAAAATGATCGATAGTTCGGAAAACTTGAAAGTTCCTGAAAAATTCAAGTATACTTGAATTATTGTGGTGGCGTTGGCCAAACATAGATAATTATAACAATTAGTGGCTTTCATTTGATATTCGATTGTTAAAAACACGTTATTGAACAATATGATGTTTTAAACATATTTCTCACGTGAAAAATATTACCGGAAACAATTTTATTTCTTTTTGAACGGTAATTACACACCACGAAGACCGTCAAATGTTCAACAGTCATTAGGAACTGGTCACACGATCGGACAATTCAAAAGTATAATAAAACAAATTAGGAATGAGTAAAATATCAACTCAATTGATCAGCGGTAAGTATAAATTAATTTTCCATTAATTTATAATTGTTATTATGACTAAACTAACGTTTGTAGCAATTAAAATCCTCTATGGGCGAATTTAGCTATGAAGGTTCCCTGAAAAACATTATACCGATTTCAGTTATCGTCAAGTTTGAAAAAATTGTACACAATAATTAGTTGACATTTTCATAGGAACATTTAAATATAACTAATGAAGTCTGATGCTCAAGTTGTGCGAGCTGAGTAGTCGGTTTTGTTTTGCTCGGTAAATTTTACTGATAGTTATCGACACCGCTACTCTTAGAGCACATAAATACCTGTTAAAGAGCCGTCATAAAGAATCGGATGCATTAGCGGTTCTATTGTGATAGTCGTACAAGTATTATCATTAAGATGTAGGACCACTGAACTCTTACCAACAATAAGATTAAATAAAGTGAACGAATTCGGCCAAGTAAAACAATTCGATAGCGTGTAAATGAAATGAACGCGCAGTTAAACAAGAGAAGAAGCGGGTTTTTTAACAGTTGTTTAAGACTCGTCATTACGTCCGGTGCGTTCATTCATAAACTGTTCAGTGATCCTTTTATTTTTGTGCCCGTACATTACAACCTCCGGCCATAATATACACGGACAGATTCGCGCGCCCACACTTTTTATTACTCTTAATAAATCGTATTAAAGAGAAAAAACAATAAGGTTTTCGAATCATTAGTTTTCATTCATTTGGTCGGTTACATTGTTCCTACGACATAATTTAGGCGTTGCCTAACTCGAGAGCAGCACGTAGTCGAAGAAACAATACGATTTACTAATGGCCGTGATAGGTAACACGGTTGCTACAGTCCGGTTGATATTAACAGAAAGAATTATACTTTTATTGTTTATATTTGTAAAAAAAAAAAACAAGTCATTCGATTTTGACGTCGACACGTCAAGTTAAATATCAGTCTCTCGCTCGAATGCTGATACCTCAGAAGAAGTCCTCGCGGACGGCATTTGTTTCAGAGTGCAAGAGGTCGAAATGCATTCATGAATCATTTGCTTGCAATCAGGTTTACGGTTTCTCTGGAGCACGCCGTTTGTACACATTTTTTCCCCTCGTAAATGGATAAAAAAATCTACTTAAACGACACTTGTGAAAAATACGGCATGTGTAAAGAAGAGATGCCGCGGCGTCGACAGAACGATGACTATGTTATTTTTATACGTCTTCGGCCTTTCCAGAATATTAACCTCGTCGGGTGTCTTACAGAGCTGCGTCTCTATATTGTAATCATACCCACTGCGGTTCTTTTTTAGTGTCGATCAGTTCGATTTCGAGCTGAATGCACGCCAAGTGACACCGAATTATTTATCGCGAACCACATATTATATGCGCGAACATCTGCTGCCGTTCGGGGTGTATTTCCATTATTATTTTTTTATTAGTAAATGCCGTCGATTTACACCGAGTACAACAGCAGCACATACCTGCGAAATTCTACCGGGTTTGTTAATGTTATTATTACATCAAACAAATTTTTATGACAACGAGAAACCGCGAAAATCCAATTGCGCTCCGAATGAAACAAAATCATTTCCATAACAAAATGAGATTAGAAAATGTATTTGTGTTAACATCGAAATGGACACGCTACGTGTTGTGCACTTGGGGACGACTTTTTATGTATTTTTTAATGGGATCGATTCTGTCGACATGGATTCGACTATATGAAACTACTAATAGTTTTCCTATACACTGACGCCGTGTTTTGCAGCTCTTCCAATGACTGCGGTAGTAACGTGTTAATATTTTTCACACAATGAAATGTACAAAAAGATGTAAAAGTAAAACGCACGCGCTACGAACGTCCCAAACAATGTTATTTGTTATTATCCGAGAAAACCAGCTGCTGACCAATGAAGATTTTCACTTGAAGAATACCGAAGATGAGACCGACTACACGTTTAGGGGATTGTAGCACGTGTTCCCACACGACAAGCCGATTTATTCAATAAATTTTTTAGTTGTCCATTTTGAAATAAAATCGATTTTACTCAACCTGCGCACATTTTGCTGAAGTCCAGCGATTATTTTTATCATTTCTCTATGAAATAACACTTTTGGGAATAGAAAACAAAACACATTTGAATTTTCAATACAAACACTTAAAACATTTAATCGTTCAGCGACAGTTCGCGCACGAACCTATTTCACGTAATCAGTACGATAAAATTATGGAATTTCTAATAGCGATATGGTTTGTTATTGTTGTATGATGAAATCCTCATTGACTGTAATAGGTGTAAACTGTAAATAGTGATTACATTTATTTTTAAATTGACTTCACGAGGAAACCTTTGAAATTTAGGTAATAGAAATAGACGTATTGGTTTAATGATGTTTCATGTTTACCGCCGTAGAAGTGGTTTACACGTAAATTCCCATTGACCTTTAATTGTTTTACTTCATTATGTAATTTTAAGTAAAGAAAGCGAAATAAAATCCGTAAACATTTTTCTTATATAACTAACGCGATTACATTCTACAATCAAATGGGTCAGAACTGGGCGGCTAACGGCTCAAAAATTGTGGCGGTGTTGGAAAAGAAATTTCCACCGTTTCAAAAAAAAAAGAAAGTTTAAATAACATATTAAGCTAAAGTTTTCAAAATCGCACAAAATACATAATATCTTTTAAACCGATATAAAGTATTGATGTATTTAATTTTCGATCATCAACTCGATGACATGTCATTAAAATGGGCATATATTTTACATAAAAGGAAATATTGAATCAATTGGATATTTGTCCACGTTATTCGATCGTGTGTCCAATGGGATTACAAGTATAAACTGTAAATCACATAAAAATACTGCGACATAAATTTTAAACGCTTCGACACGTGTACCTATTATTATGACCCTTAACGGCCGCAAGTTCATCGCCATCGGCAACACCACACACATAACGCATATCGGCCGTGTCAATATTGGTATAAAACATTCGTCAATATGTATCCGGCGGTTGGTTGGGTGGAAAGACAAAAATAAGCGTAGCGTATAGGTACACACAAATAAAAAAACACGGAGAACAACAATAAAATAGTATTAATAATGGGGAGGGAGATTGAATACAATAAAAAAGAAAGGGGGCAGCTGCGATGACAAATGGTGACTGGGCGTGTGGTAGTGGAACTGACTTCTGGTCTCGGTGCGCGCGCATCTTTTGCATTCAAGGCGTGACCGCCATCCGATTGGTCCAACTCTATCGTTCCGGACGGCGGTGGCCGCCGCCGCCGATATCCAACGCCGAGCACTAAAATCGTGTCGATCCCGTCCTTCAGTCTGCTGACATATCCCGTCCTGGTAACAAGTGCGCATCCGACTGCCGACACGCAGTGAACACTCGTTTGTGTTTCGGTGTAGAGTTGTGTGTTCATCGATTTTACCGGTACTAGTACTTTTCGTTTTGCTCAAAATAATTTTGTTGTTCAACTCTACGGAGTTAACATTATTTTATTTCATTTGTAAACGATTTTAACGCGTTCACGATGGTGACGAAATCATTGAACGGTCCGAGTTTCACCATCAACCACATTTTGGGTCGTCTGGACGTCGACGACGAACGGGACGACATCAAGAGCCCTGGCCCGTCCACATCGCGGTCGTACACCACCGGAAGCGAGGCCGGCAGCGACTGTAGCGGCGACGATTGTCTGTGCGCGCCCGTCGACTACAGCACCAGGCCTGGAAGCCCCGACAAGAAAACCGACGACGAGGACGACGGCACATTAGCCGGTGTCGACGGCGATGACCGCGCTACGCCAAGCAATACTGACGACGGTAAGGACGATAAAAAAGGCAAGGATCAACAAGACGACAAAAACAAAAAGCCAAATTATAGTTACAACGCTTTAATCATGATGGCCATATCGGAAAGTCCTCAAAAGCGATTGACACTCAGTGGAATTTACGAGTACATTATGAATAAATTTCCTTTTTATCGTATGAACACTCCGGCTTGGCAAAACAGCATCCGTCACAATTTATCTCTGAACAAATGTTTCGTAAAGATTCCAAGGAGTTTTGACGATCCAGGCAAAGGCAACTACTGGATGATCGACCCGAATAGTAGCGACGTGTACATCGGAGGCACCACCGGTAAACTGCGCCGGCGGTCCACGCAGTCTTCCCGTCACAGAATCGCCTACAGACCACCAATGCAGCCTTTGCCTCCACATCATCCTCACGCCGCCTTCTACCATCACCAACACCATCGCGGCGCCGGAGTTCCACCGCCTCCGGCTTCTGGAGTTCCTCATCATCCGGCCTGGTCGGCCGATTACGCCGCTGCAGCAGCCGCGGCCGCCGGTTTCGACTATTTGCACCAATATTTCTGGCCACCGGCAGCCGCCGCCGCCGCTTACCAACAACAACAACAACAACACCACCATCTCCAACAGCAACAACAGTTGTCGCCTTCTCCAGCAGCCACCGCGGTGGCCACCTCGACCGGATACTCGATCAGCCAACTTTTGCGACCTACCCTTCAAGTACCGCCAAAAAGGCCTACGGCTGTCATGCACCCGGCAGCCGCCGCAGCAGCGGCCCTCCTCCAAGTGTCCATGACCCGACACCAGTGACGTATGTAAGAGAAAAATCAACTTGGTTATTATTTTGTTTTTCTTTTATACATAAAGTTACCGAATGTAAATATTTATCTTAGCTGAGAAAATAATTTTTCTCCCTTCGGGTCACAGGCCTTGACTTTTTTATTATTTTGTTGGTTGATCTCTGATGTATGTTATAAGAAACGTTGTTTTTTTTTTTTTTACATAAACGCAAAAATAAATAATACATTATTTTTTGTTTCCATTAATTTGTTTAGTAAAATTTGAAACGAGGCACTCTATTCTAGTCACAAGCGTCATTCTTGTCCAATGAGCCATTGCTATGTTTATTTTTGTACGCGTTGCTATTTAACTATTAATTATGTTTCCTATTTTTTTTTTATTATTATTATTATTATTATATGTATAGTAATTGTAACAGCGCTCGTTTTAATCACATGTGCCTTAACAAATTTTAATTGCATATTAATATAGTAAAATGAAATGATCAAATTCTAGAATATTGCGATAAAATGTTGTTTTTTCTAGTAATCAAAAAAACAAGTAGAATAATGTGTAAAATTAAATATCATACATGACTAAGATAATGTATAGTGACTATTATTACATATATATATATATATATATAAATTATTATTGTATAGTATTTTTATTTTAATGTTGTCGTTATATAATTTGAATTCAAATATAACAATAAACGATGTTTTGTATTACAATATAAATCGAATTGGGTTATGTATTATTATTTCCTCCGTCAACACAAATAAAAATTTCTTAAAATGCTGTTTGTCAAATGATGTGTTGACTAGTTATGGGTTATCATACAATAGCTTTAGTCGCGAGTGCGACAAAACAAGTATATAAAAAGATTAAATTTCGTTGACATTTATTTTATAAGCTCGGAAATGGAGTTCTATAAACGCCGTGATGATTGTAGCAGCTTTTTTTTAAACGGTCTTGAATAGACTCCCACAACAAACAGATAACAACAACCATATAAATTATATAATATACTTTGTGTTGACCGTTGTGTATACGATTGAGTTAATGAAGTTATTGTCGTCTATTTTGTTTATTAAACTGTTGCAATTTAAGAACGACAAACATATTATTAGGAATTAACGACTTGTCGTCGTCGAGAATAAAAAGTAATAGTTTAAACTAGTAGAGTAGATGATAAAATATTTGGCATTTTAAACGTAGGAATTGATTAGTTACGAATATATTCTCTAGTGTCTCTAGTTATTGAAATCAACACGACTACGCGGATTATTAAAAATATTTCAATTAAATCGAATTAAAATATATATATATATATTCAACTAATGGTTTGTAAAAATATCGAGTTGATGTTTTCACTATACAACTTATAGGCAACCGTGTATTAATCATTCGATTTGGTTATGTTTTATGAGAGTCGATCAATATATACAATCGTTAGAATTCTTACAAAAAAACATACAACTTTATCAGCCCAATCATATTAATAATATTTAATTGTATTACAATACAATCGAACATTAAATTTATCAAAATATAGAAAAACATAAGAGGTTAGTGATTTGTTTACATAGATATAGCATATTAATAAACACAAAAGAATCATTAATTCGGTCAAATAGTTCATTGTACTAATGTAATATTCTTATCGCCACAGCTGTAGAAATATTGTTCTAGATGATGGCAACAACATGACACCAATATCGTCTTGGAAAACATGTTATTACTTATGTAATTATGTTTGATTTCATAAAATCTATTTAAAAAACAACAATAATAGAAGAAATTCATATTTCATTATACTCGCGGTAATAATTGTTGATGGATATTATCTAAAGTGTAATTGTTGATAATTTTTAAAAACCAACAGCTCTACGTACATTTGTAACTACTAGAATTGTTAAGTCTTATAATATTGCATAACGCGTAAGTTACACGTTTTGTGTTCAACAAAACCCAACTAAAAAAATGATTTTATTGTTGTATCATTACATACATTATGTGATTAGTAGCGTACCCATTACATTCATATTTTCCTTTATAAATGTTATCAAATATTTTGTAAAATCATTTTCAAAACGTTAATAAATACATTTTAAAATCGGACCACACATATTGTGACCGCTCAACTAGTAACTGTTATGTCAAGCCTGAACGGCTAGTGATTCATTTAAAAATAATAACTTTTAGTATGGAAAATAAACACAATATTCATGGGCACTGTTGATATTTGCTATTTTGATGGAAATATACCAAAATGTGTTTGATACGTGTAACGTTGTCTATTTTTTGGGTACCTGTTCAATACTAAGTGCGTAGGTATTCTATGAATGACTAACGAGCGATATCCGGTAGCAGTCAGCGGGAGAACTAGGCGGTTATGTCATATGAGGGAAATCTAGGTAAACGGATAGAACCTTTGATTCATCTATTTACCCGTACCTGTCACAATATAGTTTTGTTCTCCAGTTTTTTTATTGTTTAGTGGAAAGGTCAGTTCACTTTTTTCGTTCAGTCCTTTGACCGCAATTTTGTCACGCGTCTTGCCGAGTTTCTCCGAGTAGTGTACTTATTTTCCTATGAAACTCGTGTAGTGTGTTACAATGTGACCGTACCGAAAATGTAATCCTAACCAAACTTCTAATTGTGCTCGTTGAAGTGGATCGAAAGTGCATAAAAATATGAAAGGTGGTAAAACAATGAGGCGTTTATCACGAAAATCAACAGACGAACCCTTTGCGTTTAACTATCGTGATTGAACGGCATATTTTTAAATTTACATCCGCTCATGTGAAAATTATATTATCCTCGTGTATACAAATGTCGGCCGCCATTAAACTCTCCTCTCCCTTTGACGACGCATTTAAACGTTTCAGCTCATAACGCCGTAAGAGGGCGTGATCCGATGACGTTTTAGGGTCTAGTCGAGGTGTACACATGAAATAATATATCCCGTACACCTTTGTAGGTATTTATTACTGAGCGGTCCTACGTGACGTGTTCGAATTTTGCATAGAGTAACTGACAATGTAATTAACAATGTGTTTGAATGTCAATGTTACTCGAAGAGTATTTGTCACACGAAAACGTTCCATTTATTTTGTCAATGAAGTACGCGATTTCGATCAATCATTTCCCGATGACCGTCTCGTCGACAACCGAGAAAACTGTAGGTGACGTTCTTTTTTTCATTTTTTAATACTCGGGAAAATACGGCGTTTCCTACCCTTTAGAGTAAAACTTTTACAAATTTATTCAATAAAACTGTGTTGTGAAAATCGTATTTTGTCGAACAGTATTCGGAAATCCGTTAATTAATCGTCGGTCGTTCAACACCAAAATGGTGTCGTATGTACGCGTAGTAATTACCGTAGAGCGATTTTAAAGGGGTGCGGGCTACAAACAATACACTATTTAATAATCTGATCGAGATCCGCACGATAAAAAGGGTTAAACCGTGTTTACATTATAATCGTTTGAGTTGTTTAATTGAGTTTTGAAACCGCCCGTTTAACTCGACGGCGCGGAATATTATAAATGATATTTTTATTCGACAAGCTGAAGATGACAATCTGTAGTCGTTTTGTTGACACTCTATGTCTTTTTAATTTTCACTCGATATTATCAAATTGCGCCCTTAGATTTGTGTGCACATAACTTAGGCCGAGCTTTTCTATTGGCCGACTCCGAGGGATGCGTATCGGTGAAAATTCATTGTTCGGCTTGCGTGTGTATACTTTTCGACACTAAGTGAGAGAACGAGCCATGTTTCGGTCGACCACGCCCAACCAGAAAAAAACGTTAAATGATACATTGTTGTTTTATTGTGATTAAAAAAAGGACAAGAAACATACATTGTGTGTATTGGATAAAATCGCGTCGTTTACACGTCTGCGAAATAAAACTTGTGCGCGCAGCAAAATTGGAAGCTAAACGTGTCATGTAGTCTTATGTTTTATATGCGAATGAAACGCCAACGAATAGACAACCGGGTAACGAGATGAAATTCAGGAGCTAAAACTGCGCACTCGTATTATTGCGGTGGTGTAAAAAACCGATCGGGACCAAGACGGTACGCGCGTTTTCTTGACCGTATGGGATTTGTAACGACGGGCGTGGAAAATGACGAGCCTGTACACGAAAGGGTTGCACGCGCTCGTTACCGAAAACGAGAGTACTTATCNGTACACGAAAGGGTTGCACGCGCGCGTTACCGAAAACGAGAGTACTTATCCCGTTGGAATAGTATTATTATTTTATACGAGCCCGAAATAATAACACACAACTGCCTCACACCAGTAAAACGTGTACACCGCGGGCCAGAAACCGAGTGTTCGTATCCTTTTTCTTTCACCCTTTGTCTGGTTTATTCATTTTTTTATACTTCCACGGTGACCACCGCCGTACCGGAACGTGTAAATCACCTTTGCAGGGATAACTGCGTCTCGCAGTGTGCAGGACTCGCTGTGGTGGTCTTGCTGCATTTGACTAGGCACACGGTGTAGGGCATGCGTGTAAAATATAAATCAGAAGCTATCACGCAGTGCGGAGGACGGGTTGACAACAAAAAAAAAAAGGATTGTCCAGCAAATTATACGCTCTTTTAAACGTTCCACTCCTGGTCGTTAAGTTTACAGGGTGCCTTTTTTTTTCGACCTATTCAATTGCGTACCATTTTGAAGTCATTTACTCGGAACGCGACAGTTATACGACGCGACCGTAATTCACTTATCCTCGCTCGACGTTNGGATTGTCCAGCAAATTATACGCTCTTTTAAACGTTCCACTCCTGGTCGTTAAGTTTACAGGGTGCCTTTTTTTTCGACCTATTCCATTGCGTACCATTTTGAAGTCATTTACTCGGAACGCGACAGTTATACGACGCGACCGTAATTCACTTATCCTCGCTCGACGTTTATATTATGTGTATACATACACGTGTTTAAGTTACCTATGTTTTTTTGCTCGTTCCAATGTAGAGCATACGGTTGCAGTTAAATTCAGGCTACCGATGACGTACACCGTATACGTATTGTGTGTACTGCACGTGTGTGTACAGTTTTTCAAAAAATTCCACTACCCCTTTTGTCCGCGCAATACACTTACAGTAAACAGTTGGTTACTGCACAGCCAAATCATATGATTGTCATCCGGTCACCCGTCGTGAACCTTTAAGCCTCACTGTTTAATATGACCATGTTATTCGTTATTATTATTTTAGTGCGCACGACGCTCGGTACTATTTTATGAAATGGCATTTTTTTTTGATAAGTGTTAGTTTAGTCTTATTGGTTACAATGAAAATATTGTTTAAATCCAACACAGTTTGAGGAAAACCAGTAACTTGATCGTTGTCTTTATTCAGTAGTTTTCTCGAATTTTAACGAACCGTGTTGTTTAATTGTTATTATTGACTTGTTAAATTGATTAATTATTCATCTTTGCCGTGTTATTTTTGTTAGTATTCAGCGTAAATTTAACGACGAAACTACTTTTGAAATTTCGATATTAAAAATGTCAAAAAATAATAATTTCATTTGAGTTAAACATTAGAATTTATTGAGAACCTCCATTGTAGTAACTTATCAATATTTGTCTATATACAATAATTATGACAGTTATAATATTTTTGACTAGTATTGTACCATAAACACTACAATCGATATCTATTAATGATTTTTTATTTGCATTTAAAACAAAAAGATTTTTGTTATTATCGTTTTAATCTTTGTCTCAAAATAGTTTTTAAATAAATAGTTGTTTTAGATTTACTAGAGGTACTCGAAGTCATAAACCAATCATATACTAATGTCTGTTTGTCCACTCAACAAAATAAACAAAGCAAAACTAATAAAAATATTTTCGGTAGTTTGATTACGATTATCAGTAAATAATTGTGTAATATCTCATATAATGTTCATTTAATAAAAATAAACATTTGTTTTAATTTTAAGAACAATAGGCCATTTGGAAGGTATACAGAGAGGTCAACAATACGAATTCGTATACTTTTCTTATGACGATTGTTCAGAATCTCGTGGGATACTTCGTATTTATATAAACATTTTAAATGGAATTGATAAAACGAAAATATTTGTTGTATACTTTGCATGTTTGAAACACGTTCAAAATAATCGGGCGTTGTAGAGAGTTAAGTAAATTTTATACCTAAAATGTGTGATTTAATCACGAAATCCAATGAAAACACTATCAAAATCTATTGTTGATTTATGTTTTCACGAATAAAAAATGCTTTAGTAAAAAATATTCCTATTGTATTTTATGGGATTTAATTATTTTTTAGGAAGTCACCGTAGTTATGTTATAAACACAGAAAATACCCTTTGAATTATAAACGTACATAGGAAGCCTTTTGAAACTAGCGGGACAGGGTCTTTTGTTCTATCTCAGCTGCTTTTCAAATATGATATCGTTCTATTAATGCCACAACTAGGTACTTTATAACTCCATCAATACTTGACATGAATAATTAAAAATTAATTATTCCGTACTTGACGATACTTGAAAATATTTTTCACGAAAATCAATTTTCCAGTTATTTTGAGTTCCGAAAATATGTTTGAGTTAATTAATCGACTCTAATTATTCCATAGGCGTATACAGTAATTTTGAACGATTTTATTTATTTTTTTTTTGTAGGAAGTAAAATTTATCGAAATATGTTTTTTATTTTACAACGACGTAAGAAATATTCAATTATATTTTGAGGTAATAAAATTTCAAATTTAATTCCAAGTATAATTTTACAGTTCAAATGGCGAAAACCATTTCGAATATACTTTTGATAAATAAATTTCTGATTCTAAATCGAGTTAGACCTCATTATTTTACAGTACAAACATAATTGTAATGAACTTTCTTCTAAGCCCCAGATTGTACACTTTAGGCTACTGCAAAATACACTATGCGGTTTTCATCACAATTTATGTATTCGTTTGTACTTGTCAGTAATTGTGTTTGTACGTTTAATGATAATAATTATATTATTGTGTTCCATATCCTTTCTCTCATGACGGGTACCCAATGCTCGAACAACAATATAATATGTGCCTATGAGCAACAAACGAGAAACGATGAGCGCACCCACAGAACACTTGATATCTATTGTTTCGCGTACACGTCTTTCGACACCTGCCAACCGTCGTGCTACATTGCTTGTGCGCGGTATACCTTTGACAAGGATGTGCCCACCTCCTCATCCATTGTCACCGTGTATAAACACACATAAAATTATGCTTTATGCCGCTGCTTGACGGGAGCTCGCATTGGTAATTAAATCAAAAGGAGCAGAAGAAGAAAGCCTTCGACGTCGCACAAAGAGCTGCCTTCGCCGCCCACTGAAAAAGTATACTTTACGCCAATCCCCGTGCACAGAGGATAATGCATTTTTTAACCCCATTATTATTTACTCAATACATACGTGTGAGTGTATGTATGATCAAAGGCGACCCGCGTTGCAGTTTCCTATTACTGCATTACTTACAGACGCCAATTTTTTATTCATTTGTGTGCAGTAAATCCTTTACTGCGTATTGCCCTATAATATGCTCTTACACGTATATCGGTTTACCAAAGTGTACCGCGGTTTTTTTTTAATGTTATTTGTCTTACACACCTGTTTTGTGCTTAAAACTCTCGAAATTTGTATCATCCGTAAGAAAAAAAATGGTAGAGTTGTTAAAGAACCTTTGCAATTGTAAAACGGACCGTTCAACAGAACGTAAAATTTATATACATTACTATATTGCTTTGTTAGTGTAATAGAGCCGTTTCTAAAAAAACAATTCAAGATAACAGACTTCAAAATTTTGGTTCAAAATACTTATATATGTTGAGCAATTTTTGATGGTTACACAATGACGACTTTTAATCATAACAGTCAAACATAAAATGAATAATAATGCTAATCACCAAACAATTAATTTAAACGGAACTAATATTACCACAGATAATATAAAACCAGATAGTTCTCTCGAGTCTAGAATAATGAAAACGTAAAATAGATGCTCTGATTAGGAGCTCTCAAAGTGCTGTATCCAGTTACACAATGATTACATTTATTATATGTTTCATTTGTCACAATGACATTCAATATTATCAACCGTATAAATCAATATTACTATTCCCAATTTTAATTTTGATAAAAGTTAATTAATTATAATAAGACTATTAAGCTACAAAAGATAAATAATAATACATTTTGTTTATTGATTATGATATAAAATTTATGATGCATAAAAAAACAAGTAATAATAATTTTATAACACAATAGTTAGGAATTGTAATTGTCAATGTAACGTTGTAATGTACAACGGAGCAAGAAATAAGAGTTAACTAAGTTTAAATTCATATTTGATCAGCATAAAATTTGTCAAAGATATTACCAACAAATAATACACTTAAACGAAAGTATAATATACTTATATTATACTATATATATATTATATACACACATTTGTTTATATCGATTATCAAATACAATCGGATATAGGAATTGTAAAATAAACGCCATTTCACATTTATCAAAAAAAATCAAAAATCACTTTATAATATATCATTTTTCTACCATTTTGCTAAAGTTCAATTTCCAAGAAGTCATTACTTATAACTATCGATTTTTAAAAATAAGGTGCTAATTTTTTCCTTAGCTATAAATATATATGTAATTATTGACTTAAATGGTACTCGTATTATAATAATTATTATCGAAAATCGTTAAATTTTAAATTTAAACTCTTTAATATTTTTGCTAATGATAAAAAAAATCAGTATTGTTGGGTGTCAAAATAGCCCTTTATGTTCAATGGCCCTATTGCAGGCTGATTCTTTGGTTTCCATTAATTTCGTCATTGGTAAAATTAACATTAAATAAAAAATAGTTCAAAATATCTATAATTAATTACTCATATTATTATTAAGATAGCAAAACAAACAAAAAAAACGATTTATTTATTAATTTAAATTCATTGCACTGTGTTAAATTAAGAGTATTTAATAACGACGCACAAAAATAGTTACCATAAATGTCAACTATATTTAAAATATGCAAAAAGGCTTTTTTTATTCAAATTGGTGACATCAGTCAGTTCAAATAAATGAAATCATATTGTATTTTGAAAAATTGTAATTGAAAACAACGACCAGTTTATGTGAAATAAATATCAGTAAATATAGTAAAATTTACGAATTTTATAAATGTAAATATTTTGATAAATTTGATTTATTTAAAATTTATTATTTATTCAGAAATAGAAGTTAAAATTTTTCAGAAGAAATATATTGTTACAAGTATGTATAATAAATATAAAAAAATCATTATAATCCTAGTTTTTCTTATTTCTCATTTGGTACATATATTTGGTTCAAATAAACTTAATATAAATAAAGTGAAAAAATTAATTCGAGTTTTTCCCAACATAATGGACTTAAAATTAAATTATCATCGTTACTATGCTCAAAATGATCCGAATAACAAAGATAATATATTGTTTCCAAAGCTTTCAGATAAGAATACACTATTAAATATTGAAAAATCAAAAGTAATTAATATAACTTTAAGGAAATTACTGGTATCCTGTGAAGAAAGCAACATTATTGAATGTTACACAATGTGTTTAAACGTTTATGAAAGTGTATGTTTAACTATTGTTTATCGACTCGCCGAATATATAAGGCAAATAAAACATAGAAAATTTAAATTTCCACACCGATCTTCCTCTAAAAAACTGGTTAAATATTTTACTAGTATATTCATAAAATTGTTGATTTCAACCGAATCACTTGATTGTGTTACAGAGGCATTGGGTAAAAAAAGTCCCCAAAAACGTATGAGCAAAATTAAAGTAAGCAACAGTGGCTTATTGATGTGTATGAATATGTTTCAACATAAAATTAATTTTGTGGATATTGGGGAGTGGGAATTGTCAAAAATTAAAAACAACGAGGTTCTCTTGAATTTACAAGAAAATATCGAAAACACAGCAAAATACATGATAAAGATCAATTTAAAAATATTCAAATCTGTATTGTGATTGTGTACGAGTAATGCTGAGTATTTCAGCTTTTCCATTTATGTTTTGAATATATTATAATTTTATATACATTATTTTTTAACAAAGCAACTTAAAAAGTCGTATGAATTAATTAATTATCCCCCTTGTTAACGATTCAATGATAAAATAAATGTCAAATGGAAATAGTATTTAAACATAAATCGATTATGAAGATTTAATACAATATTGCAAAAACTTTTATAACATTTTTATTAATACAGTGACAAAAGATAGACCTTATGTTTATATTTTACAACCCCACGGGTATATTTGTTTTATTGGACTATGAATAATATAAAAAAGTTATCAATAATATAGTCATTTAATATACAATTGAGAACATTATAGTCACATTATATTTTTTTAATTTTGTTGTTATTACACAACAATGTTTTTGTTTATAACTTTGATATTCTGATAATATCTTAAATAGATAAAACTATTAAAAATATTATATTTTCAAAAAGAATAATATTATTTGATTCAAAAAAATTTACAATTATATGTAATTAAATATTTTTTTTATCCTTTCAGTGATAAATAAACATAAATTTCAATTTTCTTTACTGGGAACCCCTACTTTTCGTTAAATGATATGATGGAAAAAAATGTTGAAACAATTTTGTTCTTATAATTATTTTTGTTAAAATAAAAAGTCCGTTATTTTTTTTCGATAGACTATTATTTTATTATTTATTCTTTAAGTTAAGCGATTTTTGATCAATTAAGCATACAGTAGTCATCATTTGTTACGGGTACAACTCGATATTGTCATATAGAAATCTTATCTATAATAATTTAAGTCTTTTAATTAACGAATACTCTTATATTCATTGCGAGTGTACTATTATACACTATTGAGCGACCTGTGTGTAAAAATAGTCTTGATAATTACCATAAAAATAATTTGAAACGGATTATTGTTAGCTCTTGTATTACGAAAACCAAATTAATAATAAATTTATATTCTAAATTTAATCCAAAAACAATTTTAAAATTTAATTTATCGATAAAAAAAAAATAAAGATTAAAATAGAGGTTCCCTTTAATTAAAAGTAAAATTTAGGTTTTTTATATCTGCAAGAATGAAAAAAAAATATTTATATACAATTTGTTGTTTTTGAATCAAACAATAACTTTCTTCACGAAAATTTAATATTTTTAATAGTTTCCAAGAAAATCCTAAAAATACCTATTTAAAATATAAAAGAATTCATCTGATTTATAATAATAAACAGACAGTAATATAAAAATACTAATAATATGTTGGAGTATTTAATAAATGTGTCTTTTATGTATTGTTTTGAATAAATTATAAGATAAGATAGAATTATAAGATACAAGTTTTATTAAAACGATAAAAAAAAAATTTCACGAAATAACTTTTTTCATTACTAATATTATTAAATCATAATTTTCATAAATATGAATTATAAATAATTTAGTAGGATTATTGTAAATTCTGTTTTCATGCTCTTTATAATAGTCATGTGATCGATTTTATTTCGTCAGCTTTTAAAACGTATCGGGTCGTTATCAAAAAACAAAAGAGTGCTGTTTTTTTTATAAGTAGAATCTGTAGTTCTAAAAAGCGTAAACTCATATGAGAATAAATATTTATACAAGACGAACAGCACTTGAAGTGCCAGTGCTACCGGATTATTAGTCTCCGTCGGTTGTTGACTGGTCGACGATTAAGACATTTCTCATTGCTTAAACGGGAAACAGAAAAAAAATGTGTTGAGCGGAAAGATGCTTCGCTTACAGCTCACTTACACGTCCCCTAATCGCTACGCTTCGCCTTAAAAAACAAAATTAATAAGTCTCTATTAGTGACCGGCTACGCGTATATATTAAAATTAAATCTCATAATGTTAATTCCAATAAAAAATAAATTATATACACCACTGATGTAAAGAGCGGGTATAATGACAAGGCGTTTTTTGTACGTTCAGTAGTCGGAAATATATTTTTGTCGACTGCGCTGTAATTTTCAATGTATTTATGTAAATCGAGTTAGGAGCCGAACAGATAACCGGAGATGGACACTGGTCGATATTAATCACTGTTGGGCTCGTTTTCTTAATTATTATAAACAACTATTTTATACTTACGAATATTATGTATACAACTTAATCTTCCGGCGTTAAATGTTTACAGTATATTTTATCCATACCGAATAATAATTTTATTTTGGGAAACACACCTGAAATGTGTACGTGGGTTATTGTATTCTTTTGCTTTTCCGAATGACGACATAATGTATACAATGCATGTAGAATGAGTTTCACATTAGTACTATAAACCGTCTTCAAATAATTACTACTGATTTGCGCTACTGGTGTGTAGGTTGCAGTATTGGATAGTTAATATTACATTGGAACTAACGAGAAACATTCTCGTTTGATTACACTTGTTAAGTATCTTTAACGCGATGCGTTTATAAATCCCTCGTCTGGTTGTTCCCATACTTAATTTATTGGCGAGAGTAAATATTGACTCGAAAGAGCATTTGAAATAAAACGAATACTTGACAGATATTTTTCTAAAAATCTGTTATCCAACTAAAAAAAAATTTATCATTACTCAATGTTAAATTGAAATACTCTGTTGCTTGTTGACCGATATAGAGTAAAACATTAGTGTTTGGCGCTCATGACTGTTTTGTCATATTTTAAGACCACCTGAATTTAGATTTAAATAATGTTATAACTTGATTAAATTGATGTATTATTGAAAATGGTACTAACTTCAATACAATCGCGGTTTAATCTGATTATTCTGGTGTATTGACACACTATAGAATGTTGTGTTATGCAATAGATTTATAAGAAATTAAAAAATTAAATAATCATTATTGTTTAGAAGTTTTTCTAAAGTTTAATGTACTTAAATAGTAAAAAAATTATCTGATTTGTATATAAAAATATATTTTCTCATCAGGCCTGTTATAACTGTCATTTCCTAGTTAATGTTCTATGATTATTTAATATTTCATCCAAGTACCACAGTAAATTATTAAATGACAACATAAGCTCATAATTCTTTTACATTAATTCTGAATTATCAGTTTTATTTTTATGAATTTATAATATTTATAATCTTCCAATATGTTTTAACAGATAAACAATCTGAACTGTGTACGGAAATCGAGAAATTTACTAGTTTAATAAATCGTATAAACACGACGATTAACTTGTATGACTACCCATTTATTTTCTCGGAATAATCTGTTCTTTACAATTATAAATAATGAAAAATAAATCTAACAAACTGCACATTTACACAATATAATCGCCGGAGCGTATTACAATGGTAAAGAATGTTAGTATAAATAATCATCACATAAGCCGTTTATAATTTGTTTTATGTATCTACACGTGTGTGTATGTATACTATTATAACTCGTTGTAAATTGAAGTTCAAGTCTTTCAACACTCGGCTAAATTCAAAACTTATGCACGCAACCCTTTGCCGTCGCGGTGTTTCATGATTAATAACAATATGTGCAGTATAATGCTAGTAACTCATATATGTAGTTTAACATGCGACATGTTTATAAATTTAAATTATAGTTAGGTGAGACTGAGTACTGAAAATATACGTGCCATACGTCCTTTTTATGAAATCAGTGTATATACATGAAAAAAACTCGTTTCCCGTTGTTAAGGCTAATAATTGGCGTTATTTATTTAACAAGTACTTCATGTAAATTATTATGTGCATAATTTTAAAGGAACATAATGTCTTATGAACACAATATATACAATAAAGGTGGAACAATTTCATATTATTGTGAATACGTGAAATTATTCTTAGTTTATCATCAAATATTATTTTGATATTTTAATAAATTAATTGTTTACAAAATGTAAAGAGTACAAAAATGTATTTGTTGTTAATCTATTAAGTTTAATTTTAATCAAAATCAATATTTTTATCGTAACGAACTATTTGATTTTATCTTTTAAAAAATAAAACGTTTCATGTGTAATATCAAAAAGTGAACATGTGGAATAATTTGTCTGTACTGTTTGAAACACACAAACAAAATGATCTTGAAAAGATGTATTGCATAATGTTTCATAATTTAAAAATAATATATTGTACAACACGCTCGTCAATTTTATAATAATAATAATTAGGTGATGCATCGATGACCTAATTTCATAGATAAGAATAAAACTTAATGTTGATATTTACAAACAATGGCTACAACCATTTAACGAATAATGTAACATTCAACTGATAAGTGAATTTATAATGTATTTATTCTGTGCTGAGAATTAATTATAAAGCTTAATGATTGATTACAAAGCATCGCACTGTTCTATAAAGTACAAATTTTGTAAAAAGTATGCATATGCGTGCATTTATAAAACAGGTGCATTATTGGGTGTAATTATTTTTTACCACATTATTGTGGTGTATAGTTAAGTTTTGATATATGCGTAATTTCCTCAATTTAAAAACGATGATGACTAATGTGTAATAATAAAAACGGCCGACCACATTAATTATTACCGCCGTGTTTGACCCGAAGATTCATTTGTACATAATATGGACAATTGAAACAGTACAACTAGTAACCCTAATAGTTAACAGCTTGACCGGAAGTGCCCTCCGGGTCCTCTGTGCACACGCACGAGTACAATTATACAATCGTGTGTTGTGTATATGCTTTTAAAAGAAGTGTCAATATGTACAGCGAATAAACATAATTTTGTTGTTTTATTAAATTGGCAATAGCGTAGTCTGTGCTATTGGTAATTAAAAAATGTGTTTATCACAGACACGCTTAAGTATTTCACTTTATAGTTGTAAATTCTTTATTTACTTATAAGATTAATTTTTGAAACAATTGCTCCTATTAATAGAGGAATATTCTATTTATATGTTTTAACAAATATTTATTCTGAGGTCTTCCAATTATCGATTAAATTTACAATAATATTTCACTTGCGTAGATAATAATTCTGATCGAGTCAATTTTAATGGGTATTGGTCAAATTACTTTGTCTTAATCGAAAGTTTTATTTACAAACGTTTGAGTTAGATATTTTGAAAACGCTTAACTTTAATAGAAATTTGTATCGTTAAAATTAAAGCTGAATAATACGTCAATATAATGTAAAGTATAAATTCATAAACAATTTTTTAAAAACTACTAGGGATCTAGTAGGAAAAAATAGAGAAAAATATATAAAAACTCAATGGTTCGTGTGCAGTACTCATTTGTTTGCACAGACAAATAGCAATTCGGTAAGTATTATGGTCAAATGATTTCAAATCTAAAGCAAATGTTTTATTCAATTTGACGATTATCATTTGTTGTAAAATTAGTGATGCGCTTAAAAATACCATGGAC